GAGAATTTGAAACCTCAAAGCCCACCCACAGTGACAAACTTCCTCAAATAATACCACACCTACTCCAACAAGGCCACACCTCCTAATAATGCCACTCCCTATAACCCTGGGGGGGGGGGCAATTTGCATGCAAACCACCACAGAACCAAACTACATTCTAAGTATTTATGTTTATAACCACAAACAAGGCTACTCTCAGCCTTAATCACAGAAACTTCTCTTTACAGTAAACTGCAATGAACACAGATGACTCATGACTGCTCAAAATACTAAGAATAAGTAACAACCCTGGGCTCAGCTCTAAATAGGACATTTATACAACCCTCTAAAGTTCTGGGAACATCACAAAATAAGGAACAGAGAGAATGGAGAGTAGACTACTCCTCCCTGCTGAACAACTGGCTACCAGTAGATCCTGGAGAACATCAGGAAGTATCTTCAGTTGTGTAGCCAATGGTAAGCCCACCAGGCACCAGTAGCCACAAAATGATCCTGGTTAAAATTAGTGGGTAACAAAACAAAAAGATATGAGTATGGAAAAGGGACTTTGACTTGTAGGGAAGGAATGATGATGGGTAGGATGAAGATAATGGAAGGTGGGAGTGAGGAAAAACAGAAAGCATTATATAAAGTATAAAATGTCAAAGAACAGATGTGACCAATAAAATAAAGAGACAAGCCTTAGCTATAAAGACATCTATTGAACAAAGGAAGGAAACAGATATTCTATATAATTGGTAACCAAAAAGAATAGAAGTGGCCAAACTTAGCTCAAACAATATTGACTATAAGTCAAAGACTGTCACAAAAGGAAAAGGTGGTTTTATAAGTTGGCCTATTCAGCAGGAAGGCAGAACAATTTTGAGCACATATGCATTTAACATCAGAGTACCTAAATATATGAAGCAAATTTTGACAAAGATGACATAAAAATATTAGTCACAGTAACAGTAGGATATTTTATACTACATGTTTATTTACTTATTTTGTGCAAATATGTATGGGCATGTACATATCATGGTGCACATGTGGAGATCAGAAGACAACTCATGGGAGTTGGGTTTCTCTTCCCACCATGTGAGTCTCAGAAATCAAACTCAGGTCCTAAGGCTTGACAACAGACTTGACAGCTAACCTTTTCCAGTTAAGCCATCTTTCCAGCCTATTAGAGACTTTAGTACCCCATTTTCAATAATGGATATATATACATATATATGTGTGTGTGTGTGTGTGTGTGTGAAATAAACTATGGTCTATTTACCATTAAGCAATAAAAAGTAACAAGCACTGACATAGAAATGAGAACATTAAGCTAAGAAGAAGGCATGTGCAAAAGACTACTATCATATGATTACATTTACATAAACTTCTCAAATAAAATGCAATAGATTCACACTATAGAATATTGTTCAGCAATGGAAAGACATAATTATCAACACATATAAAATAAAATCTCAAAAGTATTATGGTTAATAAGAAGCCTTAGCAAAATGTACATTGTATGTGAAATTAATCTACTCAAAAAGAAACAAAAACTATGGTTCCAGTTCATCTAGCAAGCAGGAATTTAAAAAAGTTATGAGTGAACTATCAGAAAATGATAAAGGTCTATTATTTTTAAAAAGTATATGCCTTTGTTAAGTTCAGAAAAATATATGCTTAGAATTGTGCATTGTAATATTTATGAATTTTACCACGAAGAAAAAGTTTTAAAGTACCTTTTCAAAAGAAAAATTTATAAAATATTAAATTCTATGAGTAGATACTAAAGTATTTAAGGGAAATATATACTGGAATCTGAAACTATGGATTCAAACCTTAGGATGAATTAATGGACAGAGAGGAAGAAATAAGTAGGTATGTGATAAATCAACTAGAAAGTTAATAGAAATGTCTAAGTAGTGAATATATGAGTATTCAATATAAAATTATATCAACTTTGCTATATACTTGAAAATTTTAATATCTTGAGGGAGAAAAAAATCCATTAAATATAATTGAAGTCATGGTTTCAGGAATATTTGTAGCCTTAAATAGTTTTATCAATAAAGGTTACACATACAAATATAAACTCCTAGCTTTAAGGTAGGAAACAAAAGGACTGGGAAGATGGTTAGTGGGTAAAGGTGCTTACAGCCAGGTCTTCATTCAAAACCTGGAACCCACTAAGTGGAATGAAGCAGTCAGCTCGCATAAGTTGTTCTCTGACCTCCACACACATGCCACAGCATGAACATGACCACACATACACACACACACAAACACACACATACACACACACACATTTATTTTTAATTAGAAAAGTAAGTGCATAAAAACCAAGTACAGAATAGGAAATGAGAACAAAAGCAATAATTAATAACTTAGAAAAACATAAAGCATAATTAATCAAAATCTACTTTTTAATGTGCTTGTTTTTTGAAGCAGGGTCTATGTAACCCATGCTGGTCTCAAACTTGCTAAAGCTGAGGATGACCTCTGCCTCCTTTGTGCTGGCATTACAGGCATGTACTGGCCAAGCCTGGAATTTTTTTCTTTTAAGTCTAGGTAATCTACCAGATAATTTAAATAGGAAAAAAATTATAATAAATAAATTAATGAAAGACAAAAGGAAAATAAGCACTGAAACAGAAGAAAAGCCTAGAATCATTAGAGGGTTCTTTGCAGACTTCTAGGCATTAATTTTAAAATCCGTATGAAATGGATGATGTACTAAACAAGAAAGTTTATCAAAAGTAAGACATATGAAATAGAATATTCAAGCTGTACAATTTCTGTTAGAAAAAAATCAAGAAAGTTACTGTGATGGCACTGGGCCCAGAGGATTTCATGAATCTACAAATGCTTCAAAGAACAGATTCTCAATAACCCAAAATTGTTCCTGAGCATTGGAAATGAAGGAAAACTTCTGAGTTCTCTTTGTGAAGAAAGGGCAAACAATGTAGTTGCTAAATTTAATAAAAGCAGTACAAAAAAAGACAAATATAGCATATAAATATCAGTGTAAAAAATGTACTAAGTTAAGAAATTTAAGAGAACAGACTCTTATACTACACCAAGAAAATTTAACAAATCGATCAACTGAGGCTTACTCCAAAAATGTAACCCTGGTTCCTCAAGAGAACTTTCTGGATGAAAAGCTTCAAGAAAATTCAACACTCAGCACCCATTTCTAGTGGGGGGGAAAGGCTGATGGGCACTCTCATAAAACAACAAAATATACACACTTATAAGACCAGAGACAGGATACACAAGACATTTTTCAATAAAATTACAGGAAAAAATGTATATCCTTTCCAGTTCTGTTGAATGTCAGCTTAGAGGTTAAAAGCGACACAAACAGATAACAGGAAGAATGGAAAGAATGAGAATTAGGAAAGCAGAACTACTCGTAGTTATAGATAAGCCCTAAAGAGCTACACGTGAACTGGAACAGTAAAAGAACTCAGTGGCATAGGATAAAAGACTAATATGAATTCCATAGGTTTCATGTATAAAAATAACAAATAGTTACATATCCTATGTATACAAAACCCATATATAATAGCAGTAAGAAGTTAAACTACTTTGGGATAAATTTAACAAGAAATGAACAAAGTTTTATGAGGAAAATATTCCTTATAAAAGTAAAATAAACCCTAGACTATACTCTAAACAGAACGTAGCATGATAAAAGTGTGAATTGACCTTAGTGTTTAAATTTGATAAAAATAACACCAGGCTTCTATAATAGAACTAGGTGAGTTAGCAGTAAACATATTCATATGTTTTCTAGGTAATCACTGGAAAAGATCAGGAAAAAGAAATGGGAGAATATTCCTACTCAAAATTAAAATATGCTAAAGTCTCCATGGTTGCAGGTACAGTGCCTATGGCAGAACTGATATAAGACCAAGAAAAACATCCATTCATTTTAATTAAAACTGAGATCGCAATATTTATAATTGTTACAAATCAGAAAATATATGCAATATTCAAAAAAGATGAATTAAATTTGACTTGGGGAGAAAAGATAGAAATCAATTTAAAAAATTAAAGAAAAAGAGAATTCAGGGTCATATAGAACTGAACATTAAAGAGCAGAAAGTATTTTCAAAGCAGAGATGATGACAAAAAACTGGAACAAAGAATATGTGCAAATAAAAAAAACCTTGGAACTCTGGGGCTTGTATAGAGAACAACAGTGTATTATACAAAGTGGTTTATACACAGAATAAATAAAAAGCAGAGGTGGTCAATGTCAAATAACAAAAATCCAGAGAAGCTGAACATTTAGATTCAACTGCAATCAGGCTTCATACACAAAGAAAATTATACATTTTATGCCCATTACACTAATGTGAATTCCCAATTAGAGTCTAATACTACACAGTGACTAGGAGAGACAAGAAGCAATCTTTAAAACATTATTTTACAGAAATGAAAGAGGAGTGGATTGGGAGGTAGGAATGGGGTGGGGGGTAGAGAAGAGACTAGCAGAAGAGGAAGGGGAAACTTTTTATTCTTTCATTTATTCCAATAGTTTCCTGTCTAGAGACTTGCAATGACTTCTACATACCTACTTTCCTCAATTCCCTCATTACCATGGTCCTATTCTACTGAATCACATTTCCTACCACTGTCTGAAATACCCAACTCCTCAAACATACTGTATATGTATATGCCACATATGTGCAGGTATCTTGGCACTGGGGTTACAGTAAATGCTGAGCCATCATCTCTCCAGCCCTTCACTTCCTCTTCTTATAGGGTCAACAGCATTATCAAATTAGGGCCCCAACAAAATAACCTCATTTAACCTTCATTACTTCTATAAAAGCCCTAGTTACACACAGGTGCAGGGATAGAAACCTTAATAAATTTTGGAAAGACATAAATGTTCAGTCCATAGCACAGCATGTTAGTTCTAACCCTGAGAGTTTGCAACTCTGGCTCTTCCTTCTTCAGATACTTCCACCATCATTCAGAGACTGAGAAGCCACAACCAGAAAGAAACATGACATGTATCAGTGAGGTTACACTGAGCCATGCAGTTCCAATAAAGTCATCATATAATGACAACTGCATGAGCAGTCTCCACCGAGAAAAGCTGAATTGCCTTCTACTGCTGCTGTGTGGCACTGGTCTAGAAAGTCTGTTAAAAGCAGTAAGTACCAACAGGCATACCTTCTTGTTCTGCTTTTGGACCGAGACCGCTGAACTCTATAGGACTTCCCTCGACCCCTGGACCGACTTCGGCTTCGTTTTCTTCGGGAGCCATAGGAAGAGCTGCTGCTTGACCTGTGCCTGCGTCTGAAATGAACCATAAGCCTCACTGCGATGCAAAGTTTTGGTTGTGAGCATTCACGGGGAACGTAGAATTGTCTCATTCTTGTTGTTTCCCTCTTGCCTCAAAGAAGACCAAGTAAATAAAACATTACTGATCTCCAACACCCAGACAGATGACTCACAGAGTCATCTATTTATGATATTATGAGTCATAATATAGTATACAATCTTTCTAAATATCATCAGATAATGTAAGAATTATACCAACTTTTATCTGCTTGCTTACACACAAAGGATGTAAATACTAGGCCAAATTAGAAAAAAAAATGAAAAAATAAAATAAAGCCTCTGGGTTTGGATTTAACCCTCCTAAGTACCTAAATACTAAAAGAGCATTATTTTATCCAACAAATTTAAAATACAAAATAACATGACTTCTTAGGCACATCACTCTCTGCGTTTTATAAACAAAAATTATGAGCACTAACCTTCTCTCATAAGAATGGGAGCGAGGCTGACGGTCTCTAGACCAGGACCTGGACTCGGACCTTGGCCGCCTCCCGCCCTTCTTACGGCTGTACGTCCTGCTGTCTGAAGAACTGCTTGAAGAGGAGCGTCTCCGGTGTTTCTTTTTTCTCTTGCTTCTGCTTTCTTCCTCAGTGTCTGATGACCGGCGCCCCATCTCTACAAGGTTACAATAAAACATTCCTAACTTAGTAACTCAACTAATGAGATTCAAGATACACATTTTTAAACATTTCAAGAAAAAAAAATGACTATGTTGCTTAAGCTGGCTGTGAACTTCTGGATCCAACTGATTTTCCTCCAATGCCTCCAAAGTAGCTGGAACTACTGGCACATACCTCCATACCCAGCCACATCTTAAAATTTGTCAAAGTAAAATGTGGTTGGCTTTTTTTCCCTAGGCATGAGAAATAGCTTTAACACAATCTTCTAGCTTATCAATGAACTTTTTACACATTCTGAACAAAACTTGAATTTGCACCAACTTTTTTGAATGTCTTTTGAATATCAATCCTAAAGAAAGTTCATTATATCAATTTTCTGACAGCTTAAGTTGTCCTTATCATTAACTTATGATACTTTGCTTAATAATTAACCATCTAGACCTCCATTTTTATACTTCCTGAAGATGAAAAACACTTTATAGAGTCATATTTTTCAAGCAGAGTTCTAAATACTTAAAGTTTGGTTTTTTTTTTTAGATTTTTACTTAAGTTTTATTTTATGTGTGTAAGTGTTTGCCTGAATGTATGTCTGTTCACCACATGAATGGAGTCCAACGACGATATCAGATTCCTTGGGACTGTGGTTACAAAAAGTTGTGAGCTGCCATGTGGGTTCTGGGAATTGAACCCAGGTCCTCTGGAAAAGTTGTGCTCCTAACAGGTGAGCCATCTCTATAGGCCCTGAGTTCTAAATATTTAAAAGGAAAGACCTCATCAGTCATTATGGAAGTATGAGATGAAACTATGCACTATTATCATTTCACTTATGAAACTGAAAGAAGAAATGTTAACTGAAGTACAAAAGTTGATGGTTACTGGGAAGTCAGCCAGCTCTATACAACACCAGCTTGGTATGAGTCTTTCAGAAATCATACAGCAATTTAATTTAAAAATAAAAAGAATGCTGATGCTTTTTTGATAGTACAATCTATTTCTAGAAATATATCTGAAATTTTTTATTAAAAAAAATAAATGCATGGGCTTGACATGTAGTTTAGTTAGAAAACTGATGGTCTAACAAGAGGTTCTCTAGCATTGCAGAAAATCCCTAGAATCACAGCACTTGGGAGGTGGAGGCAAGAGAATCAGAAGCTTAAGGTCCTCCTTCCCTATACAAAGACATAGAGAGCAGGCTAGGTAGCCTGGGATATATGATCCTGTCTCAAAGAAAAGAAAAATTCATGAAGGTTTTATTACAGCATTATTATACCATATTTATGGAGAAGCTATAGGAAAACATATACATAGAAATTTAAATTAAAATGAACATGTAGAGAGATAACCTGAAAAACCAAAAAGAATATAGTTCCATGTAGGGGAAGCTGTAGCCACGCCTTCTTAGGGGCTGGCTACAAGAGTACCTGAGGGCTTGTGAGGGCGTGGTCAGAGTGAGTAGGGGGACTGCGTTTTCGGTTTCGGTTTCTCTTTGCTTCTTGCTGTACAGACTACCACCGGCTGGCTGGTCCGCTCTGTAAGTAAGGCTTTTCCCTATTAAATACCCTTATATTTCTACCTGACTCCGTATTGGTAATTACCTACTATAGTTCCATATAAAGGTTGTCAAAATGCAAGAACGGTTCAGAATGCATCCCCCTAAAAGAAAATAGCAGTTCTTTCAGGCAAAACCACAAGCAAGCATAATAGCATAAATGAATGTGAATAATGAAAATTAACCAGATACCACAGAACTACCCAGCTATAAACCTAGTCTTCAGCTGGCATTACAACAATCAAAAGTACCCCCTCATCTGCATAGCACAAATTACATGATGGAAACAGCATGGCAGGTGGGGTAGCACCAAAATAACCACTGCCACAGCCCAGGATCTACATTTTGCATCTTTGGGTTTGTTTATTTGCTTGTTTGTGTTTTAGACAGGTTCTTACTATTGTTACTCCAAGTGGCCAGCAACTCCCTACACAGACCATGCTGGCCTGCAGCTCTCACAGAACTCTACCTGCCTCTGCCTCCAAGTGCTGGGATTAAAGGTAGGTGCCATCACTAGCAGCTTTAACTCTGTTTTCACTACTCTGACTCGAAAGATGAATTTCTAATTCCTCTTCCCCAGAGTGTAAGTAATAGTACTGAAGTGATTAAATATATTGTTTCAAAATATAAGACATAACTCTTCTTTTCTGATGACTTTCTACATAGTTATGGTTGTAGTTGTATATTTAGCATATTTAGTATACACAGGAAAAAACAAAGAATGTCAGATTCTGGTATTCAGGAATTAGCCAATGAGAACCTTGTATTACTATAAAAGTAGCCTTGAGTGTTTCAAGTGAAATACTTTCTTGATGAAATACTTACTAGTTACCTTACAAAATCATAAAAAAACAGGATTCATCTTATGCAATAATTTTGATCAAATGTCACATCTTCTTTAGTAATTATTCAAAATAACTTAAATATCATGACTATAAACAAAATAATGTATTAAAATACTGGGTTTGGGGGGCTGGAGACATGGCTCAGAGGTTAAGAGCACCAGTTGCTCTTCCAGAGGTCCTGAGTTCAATTCCCAGCAACCACATGGTGGATCACAACCATCCGTTACCAGATCTGGTGCCCTCTTCTGGTGTGCAGATACACATGGAAGTAGAATGTTGTATACATAATAAATGAATAAAATCTTTTAAAAAAAAACACTGTTTTTTTTTTTTGAGAATTATCAGATGATCCAGGACCTCTGAGTCAATTTCAGTTTAAATATTTCTGGTAGGGATAATTCAAAACTTTAAACAATTTACCTAGAACCAGAATTAAAAATTTGTAAATATAGGTTTCTTTAAATTATTTTATTTATTACTACTGTATTATATATATGATATGTTGGCCAAGTCTTGGTGTAATGTGGAAGACAAAGGACAATTTTGGGGGAGTTGCTTTTCTCCTTGAACCACGGATTATGAGAATCAAACTCAAGTCATCAGTGCTTTCACAACAAGCACTCAATTCACATGTCCAACAAACACTGGGAAGTCTGGATGTGAAACTTTCAGTAAGTCACTAATATCCTTTATTCAGCGTCCAAACTGAAAACCAGCCCTGAATAAAAGCTCACCATGATCCTTTCCATTTGAAAACCATGTTCATAAAATTTTACGTATTCATACAATGTACACATATGCACATGTGTAAAGTACACAGCTACATGTTTCCAAACACATATGTATATAATAGCTATTTATAGATCTACATATATTACATCTTCATTAGGTATCCCTGTCCTGTATAGGTATATATTTTTAAGTATAAGAAATACATACTCAATCCAGAGGTGATAATATTTTCTTACTTCTTGGTTTTTTGTTCCTCTTTACTTTGTTTTGTTTACACCTTAAAAACTGACAAAGTGACACGTGTAGGAGTACACATTTTTAAAAACCAGCACACAGGAGGCAGAGGCAGGTAGATCTCTGTGAGTTCAAGACCAACTTGGTCTGCATAACAAGTTTCAGGTCTTCAGACCAGCAGGCCTGCATGGTGCAACCATGTCTCAAAAACAAAACAAAAAGCATGTACGTTTTCCTTTCCACAAACAAGTATTTAAATTAAAATGACTTTTTATTAGGTCTTTTATTCTCTCATTTAGAAAATATTGAAATGCCAGGATTTTAAACTCTTACTTTAAAAATATTGAATATCAGGTATGGTGGCATAATACCTGGAATCCCAGCATTTGGGAGATAGGGGCAGGTGGATTTCTTCAAGCAGGAGGCCAGCCAGGTTTAAAATAGACAGACAGACAGACAGACAGACAGACAGACAGACAGACAGATGCACAAGTAGGAAGCCAGCCAGGCTTAAAATAAATAAATAAATGTGGAGCATGATTAAAGGATTAAAAAGGTAAGTTCACAAGAATAAAAAAAAAAAAAAAAAAAAAAACTAATGGTGGTGGTACATGCCTTTAATCCCAGCACTCCAGAGGCAGAAGCTGGCAACTCTCTTAGTTCCAGGACTACACAGAGAAATTGTCTCAGAAAAAAAGAAAAAAAAAACAAAAAAAAACAAAGACAACCAGAAGACAACAGGCAACAGGAAACAACAGACAAGACACATCAAGTTTTAGCAAATGAAAAACTGATGAAGGATTTAAAACTACAAAAGCAAATACAAAGCAACTTGTAGAAAATTTCAACAAGAACAAGCCAACTCAGGCAACAAAAATCAGAATGAATCGGGAGTTCGAAACACACCACACAGGCACAATAAGGCATAAAACTAGAAACATGAAACTGAGTGAATTTCTGTATGAAAAAATATTCTCAGGTCCCCTCCCCCGATGCCATTTGACCAGGTGATGAGCCTTTTCTAGCCCCAGCAGGACACATGGTGTATGAGGAGAGTACAAAGTCTGAGAGATCAGTTTGTTTTTTTGGTTTTTGTTTTTTAAAGTGAGGGAGGCATAGTGAAGTCAAATTAAAAGTTAAAGGAATTCAGTAAAAATTCTGAAGCCAAATATACATCCTTGGAAGGAAATAAGATATCTATAAAACCCACAGAATCAACTAACCAGGGCCTCATAGGAACTCAATGGAGACTGAACCAACAACCAGGCGCTTGCATGGGTCTGACCTAAGCCCTCTACATATTTGTGAAGTTGAATAGCTTAGTCTTCTTGTGAACTCCTAACAGTGAGAACACAGACTGTCTCTGACTCTTTTACAGGCTTTTAGGACCCTATTCCTCATACCAGATCCCTTTGCCCAGTCTTAATACATGGGGAGGTACTTGGTCTTACTGCAACTTGATATGTCCTGTTTTGTTGATATCTATGCCAGGCCTGCCTTTTTCTGAAGAGAAATGGAGGAGATTTGGGGCTGGAACAGGGGTATAGAAGAAAGGTGGGAGGGAGGGAAGGAAGGAGAAACTGCAGTTGGTATGTAAAATAAACAAATTTTTAAAATAAAAAAATTAACAAAGAAAATAGAAGACCTCTATAAAAAACTGAACTGTACCCAATGGATAATGTATCTGAAGGTCCCATGAATGAAATGGCAGGCTCCCATCCAATAACCCTGTAACATAGCCCACAGCTTACAAGTTCAAATATAAACAGAGTAAACTTTTTCTATGAAGGCTTTTTCGGTTAACTTTTTAGTGTATACACAACATGAGAGCCAACTAGGTAAGGAAAGCCTCAGTCCTAAGAGACAGCCTCTGAGAAATGGCTCAGCACTGCAGCATCTCACTGGTGCTGAGGGCACGGATGCAGCAACCAGCAACACAAAACAAAAGTAAACAATAACCATAATTACCAGACGGCAGTAGACAGAAACAAAGCAATTCATAGCAAAGTGGGAACATACAGAGGAAAATAACAACAAAAAACTTCAAGAACAAAAATGCATTAATATCTTCAGGTGGGTAATGAAAAGATGCCCCAGCAAAAAATAAGAAAATGCTCCAAGGAGAACACTTGGTTTAAATAAATGACAGACAAGATGAGGTTGGAAAAGGTCAAACACTTGTAGAAGGTGAAAAGAAAATGAGGCAAACATGAAAAAATTGAAAACCTTAAAATAAAAGTAAAGACATCTATCCAGAAAATCCAATATTTAACTGGTAAAGATGCCATTACAAAAGCATAGAAAAAAGAAATGAGAAAAAATATATAAAAGAATCTCTAAAAATTAAAAAGTATGCATATCCCAAGTACTTGAGATAGTGAAATTTTAAAAAAATAAACATATACCAAAGATAGCTTAGAAAAAAAATCAGACACTGGAGATGTTGTCTAGTATACAGAAGGCCCTTTTGAACCCCAACAAAGGAAAATAATAATAATTAGGCACCAAGAATAAAAAATATCCCAGACAATTCTAAAGAGTCACAAAATAAAGATAAAGAAAGGAAAGCATAATAAAATGCACAGGCTTTTCAAATAGCAACACAAGAAACAAAGGAAATTCACCGTCAAACTTCTGAAAAACTAATTCCAACCTCGTCTCTTTCCATCTATCTTACCAAATCAGTGGTCTAGTGTGAAATTAGAAAAAAGACATTTTTAGAAATTTAAGTTCTCAAAACTAGATGTCATGCTCACCCTTCTTCAGGAAGTTTCCAAACAGTGTGCTTCACCAGAAGGAAAGCAAACATAACAAAGACAACAAGGTTCAAAATGTGAGGTGTTTAACACTGAAGACAGAAACGTCTCTGGATGAGAGATGAGAGATACATCAGTGAGCATGATACAGGAAGTCCTTGCCGTCCAAGGTATTCGATTCCAGAGTACCCAAAAGAGAGTCCATGGACCCTTCAAGCCAGGAAATTCACGAGGTAAATTATTTTCATTATAATATACAAATATTGTCTTTTTTTGATTTTCTGAATTTTTTCAAAGCAGAAGCAAACTATACTAGGGTCACTGCAGTCTTTCCTGGTCCCTCCTGACTCTACACCCCACTAGAGTCTCAAATAATAATGTCCTTGGTAGGGCCAAGAATCCTGTTCAGTGGTAGAGCACTTGCCTATCTCATATAAGACCCAAGGTTCAATACCCAGTACAGCGACAGCACATATGCCACACTCCCAAAAAATACCCTTGCAAAGGAATAAAAATCATTACATTTATTAAATTTCAATACATATAATTTCTGTCCTATAGTGAAGCAACAAACAAAAAAATGTGCAACTGAATTGCAAGCTAAACTAGTTGCTTTTATTATAAAACATGATTTCTGTTGTAAAACTGCCAATAGATGATCACTTAGGCTTGGTTATTTGGCAGCCTTTTTCTCAGACTGAATGAAGATAGCCTTTTACCTCAAGGAAAACTAACGGTTGTCACCAATCATAAAAGTCGGGCCTTAACTAAAAGATTGGAATTTTGGATCATTTGTATCTCTCTAGTACTCAGACTTCTTCTTTTCTAAGATCAATGGCAATATTAATACACATGAATGTTTGATATACAATAAAGGGTGCCAACATTTGAAAGACATGTCTAATTCAGTAAACCAGTATTTTCCAATTGCCAAGGCATAACGTCACAAAAATCATTCACAGATTCATTCACAGCACAAGACAAAAAGATTTTAATGCAATAAAGATAAAAAATACAAGAAAAGTTCAGTGATATGGTTTCAAATACCACATTAAAACCAATCTTCAAGAAATTTAAATACATTCTAACTTCTCAATATATTGAATGCAGAAGTAAATATGATAATACAGATGTCATCAAGCAAGCTAGACATAAGATACTTGCAAAACTAGAAAATGTTCTCAATGTTTTTGTTTTTGAAAATACAGCTATTTTTATATTAAATTTTGTTACCATATTTATTATTATTTTAAGTGAATTCATATACAGTTTACAACTTTGTTTAGATTACTAATAAGGTAAATATTTATAGAGAACACAAATAAGCCGGGCGTTGGTGGCAAACGCCTGTAATCCCAGCAGAGGCAGGCGGATCTCTGTGAGTTCAAGGCCAGCCTGGTCTCCAGAGTGAGTGTCAGGATAGGCTCCAAAGCTACACAGAGAAACCCTGTATAGAAAAACAAAACAAAACAAAAAAAGATGTGACCATTTTAATAATAGAGAACTTAAAGGCACATATCCTTAATAAGGATAAAAGAAGCAGTTATTATGTTTCAGAAAACAGGTAATTAAAAGAACAAAGGTTCATGGAGGACATGACAATTTGTAAGTACTTTGCCACAGTATTTCATTAAAAATCAAAATATAATATTTGATCCTGAGTACATGCCCCCTCCCTCAATGAAAGGTAGACAAAGTAAAATGGCTGGGTGTGGTGGCACAAGCTTTCAATCTCATCACCTGGGCAGTAGAAGCAGGATAGGTTCTAGACTACATAGCAAGTTCAAGTCCTAGGCTGAACAGATGCACTAGAAAGAAACAACAAAACAGAAAGTAAAAATGGGGTGGACACTATTTAACATACTATGTAATCCACAAACAGAACCATGCAAAGGAATTAAGAGAATAGAGGTAAAATTCAGATATAACAAGGCAAAATTCAAAAGAAATAAAGAATTCTGTCAAAATACTCCTCCTATGACTGACACACTCAGTAGTAACTCATAGAGACTGTGGTGGCATCATGCACAGGACCTACATAGATCCTGCAGTGTTGCAACGGGTCCCAGCATTGAGATGGAAAAGTAGACAGGAGCTCCCATCCACAACCAAGAAGCTATCTCTAACTGACAATCGCTCCAAAGGAAAACTCCATTTCTCCAGGGGAATTTCAGTAGGTACACAAGCCAGACTTGAGGGCAGGCCCCATGTTCAATAGTAGATGGCCAGCACAAAAGAAAGACAAAGGTATTCTTGAAAATATTTTTGTCTCACATTGTTTTGTTTGAGCATTGTTTTTAACCATACTGGTCTTTTGTTTGTATATTACGGTTTCCAATTTTGAGTTTTTATAGGTTTTGTGAGTGTGTGTTTCTATGTATGTATGTATTTCTCACACTCTTAGTTTTTTCTTTTTTTGTTTGTTCATTTTATTTTATCCTTGTTTGTCTTTTTATTTGCCTGTTTTCTTAGAGAGAGAAAAAGGAGGCATGGAGTTGGGAAAGTGGGGTGGTGGGGAGGATCTGGGAGACAAGGGGAACTGTGATCAGAATATATGAAAATAACTATTTTCAGTTAAAAAATGAAATAAGATACTCCTGGTGCAACAACAAAGTTCTGTGTATTAACATCTCTTTTTAAACTCACAAATCATGGGATTCCCCTCCTGTGGTCTAAGAACGCAGCCAGAAAAGGATAGCTATAAATGCACTACAACAACCCTATAACAAGCAATTCCTACCACAACTCTACATGCTGAATATGTAAAGACTAGGTCAGCCAGGCCAATTAACAGACAAGTGTCATCTGCCTTTCTCTTTTCCAGCTTCAGACATTTTTAGCCTTCTTATTGAACGTACAGTAATAAAGTGTTACCACTTAGCAAGAAATCTCCTTTGTCTGCAAAGAAAGTGAATATTCATAAACTCTAAGACTAGAGAGGCTCTCAAAGGATACCCAGTTTCCCCACAAGGTTGTACCTGTCACATCCGCTCCACTCCTTAAAACCTGAAAACTCTACATAGCCCCTTCACTGGGAGCTTTTACAACTAAGTTCAAAGATGACAATCTTTGATATGAATTCCTTCATATGCCAACATATGACATGTGAATTTATTTAGCAACCTACTACGTGGTGAGTTGGGGCAAAACGCGGTTACTGGCGGTTCTAGATTTCTTTTTCCCAATAAACATTTTAAAATACAACTCAGAAATTACATTAATAGTAACCTAAAATCTAGGGAAGGCAACGTGCATTTTTAACTTCTCAGAAAAGCAGAGTTCAAGGGTAGCCATCTGGTCACATGACCAAAAACCCTTAAGTCAAAAAGACATTTACAGAATGCTTAATAAAGTGATATCTTTCAAGACAGGAAGGTCTGTTTGACCTTGTTACCATCTCTCAAGTCAACAAGCGGTTAGACAGGCGGGATGGTGGGTATGGCACCTAAGGCACACACCAGACTCAGCCTCCCCCTCGCTCCAACTGCCTGGAGGAGGTGAGTGAACTAGGCTATTAAGGTAGGACAACTAGGAAACCCAAGAATGGTGATCGAGACCCGGGACCCGCGGAATGGGGGCTAACTCTCCACACCACCTCCAGACTGTAGGCCCAGCCTGAGGCGCCGCCCCCCCCAGCCACAAGCGCCCATGCCCGCGGCCCCCAAGCTCAGGGCCCGCGAGCAGGGACCCTCCCAGGTGGGATGCGCATGCGCACGGCTCGGCTCTCACGCCGCGGGCCACGGCCCAACCTTTGCCACTGACTGCGCCAGGCCCCACGCCGCCTCACACCGAGCAGGGCCTCTCAGCGCCTCCTTCGCGGGCGCCGCTCCCAAGCTCCGGACGCCGGCATCACCTGGGTCGGCCTTCAGGCTCTCACCTCCGGACGCGGGGACCTGGAACCCTGTCTTCAAACCACGGCGCCACCGGTGTCCCCAGAACTTGCTTCAGTTTAAGCTCAGCGCCTTCCTGGTTCCAGCGCCAGGCAGCGCCAGAGGAGCTGCCGAGTGCGTCGATGCAGGCCGCTAGGCCATTAGGAATGTCGAGCGAGTAGATTGTCATGCCGCCAATTTTTTGTTTAATGTTTGTTTCGCGTGTTTGCATAATTGGATTTTCTTGTTCCCAAAAAGCAATAAAGGTGGGACTACGGGATGTTAACTGCCTTAGTAATCGCCGTTATCGTCACAGATAATCAGTAAACATCTACATCGTGGGAAGTTATGTTTAAGACATCCGCGCTGAGCAAAATTGGTTAGTTCCTGTTGAGCGAGGTGGAAATTCGCCCAACAATAATAAATCATGGAAGTGTGTCTGCATAGAGTCGTGTGTGATTAAATTGTAATGATTTATTTGCAAAAATACATTTAAAATCGGTGAGAGATTTTTGTTGTTGTTGTTGTTGTTTTTTGTTTTTTTTTCTGCCACGAAGGTGAAGGCATTAACCGAGGGGACGCAAAAATTAGTTCCCACATTAAAGCAACCGTTGAATAGAGGGAAGAAATCTGCCCGAAGCGAGAAGTTTTTTCTAGAACAAAAATCAAATGTGTAAACTTATCAAAAACTTCAACTACCGAAATTAAAGACATGCGGTATTTTCTGTAGTTCGTACCATATTTTCCTTGTATGAAATTTTTTTCATCATTTAGTATAAGGAAGCAAAGCTAAGGAGATATATAAAATATTAGCATGAGTTCCTGCCTACTGTTAGCTAGATACAAAGGTACAGATTTCCACAGACATTTGAGATGCAAATCACCTCCAATATAGATCTATGCCTGGGAAATAGCTGTGCCTTAACTAGCCAGTTTTGAGGGACCATTTTAAATCATAACTACAACACTACATTTCTTTATAAATAATTCAAGAGCTGGGGGAACTCTTGGGGTTCAGGTGTTTTTGTTGTTGTTTTGTTTTGGGTTATATTTTTTTGAGCCTATATATCTGTTCATAGGCTGTCAGCTGAACTTTAACCTCAATAATTTTACTTTTCAAAACTGGTTTTTTAAATATATCTCAGGAAAATATTTGCTGTTTAGTGAAACAGCATCATACTTCATAGTGTTTATTAATATGATTTCAAACTTTGGGCTTCTTAAAACTGAAACTTCCTAAGAGAGGAACTATTAGGGGTGTGAAAAGCTAAGGGGGCAGGAGGATATAAGAGGCTAAAAGAAGAGGTATATTTATATAATATATGGAAAACTCAGAAAGAAACCTACCTAGACAATTATGCACTAATAAAATTTTAAATTAAACTTCCTTTATGAAAGTAGGGCTCCATAGCCAGACTCTGGAGATTTGCCATCACTTCATCTACCATCCCTGCAGTTAAAATGAGTCAAGAAAATGAAATAAAGGGGAAATCTATTGGTTCAGATTACACAGCAGTTGTGTCCGAGACTTCTCTGATTACCTTTAAAGTGGTCATCTTTTCCTCTAGCTAAGAAGATGGCATATGAGTTTGGGTTGAAGTCATGTGATTAAAAGGGATATATATATATATATATATATATATAGAGAGAGAGAGAGAGAGAGAGAGAGAGAGAGAGAGAGAGAGACTCCTGATTCCTTATCAGTCCTTTAGCCATGGTTATTTGGGAGGTGTTTGTGAATATATATTTCACGATTCAGTATGAGAACCACTGGAGCACCACACCAACTTAGCAGATCCCATTACTGATTCTAAATAATCTTTTAAAACAGTTTCACAAAAAGACTTAAAATTTTGTGATTCTTCTACTCTCTGATTAGAATTGCAGTGTTGCAGATAGTAGACCAATGCTCAATGTTACATTGTTCCTAAATTTCTATAATTTAGAAATGTTAAGTTTTAGTTTTGTGGAATAACAAAAGCAAGTGTTCGTGGACTTCATTAATACCTATATGCTATTGCTGTTCATAGTATAAAGGTAAGCTTTTGTCCTAAAAGCAGAATAGAAAATGTATTCAGAAGGAAAGATAATGTCAGAGAAAAAGTAAAGCAACATTTCCAGTAAGGTTTATTTTCATCTCCCTTAAATGTGCAGTGTAGTCTGAGGAGTACTTAGTATTACATGAAGTTATATAAGGCTTAAATTACACTTACTTGAGAAACTCTTATGTGTATCACTTTACAATTGTGCACTCTTTACAAATGTTTCAGGTTGTTTTGATGAACTTCTCAAATTATTTGCTAAGTGTTGTTCTAACCAATAAATAGAAGATATGCATATTAATGCTTTCATTTTTACTGAGTACTGGATCCAAGATAACGAAAACATTATCCTTTAACATCAGACAAACCTCATTAATATTCAGTATACTGAAAATGCCCCCAAACCCTCACTTAAAGGGGTATATTTGTTTACACATTCAAGTAAATGTAACTTTCCATATGTAAATATTCTTTTGTGCGCATAAGCAAGTATTTGCATGGCTAAAAAGTCGCACAGCAAGCCCTGGCTTACAGGACACCGATGCGTTTCCCCCATATAACAAATAGTTTTCACAAGCTGAGTCAAAAAATATAATTTTTAAGTTTTAAATCAGAGGTAAAGACAGTTGGGTTTTTTCCTCCTCCGAAGAGCAAGTAATTTTCCACAGTCCACGGTGAATAAAATTAGACGAGCGACAAAGTCGGTAATTTTTCCGAAGAACTCCAAAAGTGATAATCCTTTGTTTTTCAAATTAGAAAAGAACTGCGCCTGACCCGGCTCTAAGAAAACACCTTAAAAGCGGATCTATCAGGGGAACAACTGTTCAGGAAACAAGTTAAATCGACCAGCCCCTTGTAGCGGGGAATGTCTTCACAGGAGTCAGCTTTGACTCCAAGGAGCGAGTAGTAGAGTGAATTACAGAGACCGGCACTCGGTAAGGCTGGCTACGTGTCGGAAAGATCCTAAAAGAAGGTGAAGGAGTCCAAGGAGCCCCACTCACAGCAGACACATGAAGCCAGGATGCCCGGTTGTGCCGCTGCAGCGGCCTCAAGGAGGAAGGGGTGTGGGATCTGAATGCTGGAGTGGTTGCTGGGCCTATTATTAACCATAGAGCACCCGATGCCTGCCGGGCCAGAGACCAGGGGTCATCGGAGTAGGGTCGAGCAGTTGGGGTGCCCACCCAGAGCGAGGCTGTAGGGTCAGGTACTCTCTGAAGATACCCACTGACTCGGATGGCAGTGCACTTGTCAGTTTCCTCTTGGCCCCGCCTCCGAGAAGTCTATCCAGATCCCCAGTGTTTTACTAAGTCGTGACACCAACGCAAAATCCACGCTTAATTAAATTAATTAGGGATTCTTGTCAATCCCGGATTAATGGCCAAGAGCACCGGCGGCCGAGGCTATCAGAAAACCCGACCGCCAAGGCCCTGCCTCCTCTCCCCGCCCCCTCTGGTCCCCAGCTTGCCCTCCCACTCCAGCCGGGTGGACTCCTGCCTGGATCCTCCGTCCTCAATATTCGCATTCATAATCACATTCCTATTCATATTCATAGTCTCTCTCTCTCTCTCTCTCTCTCTCTCTCTCTCTCTCTCTCTCTCT